TTTTTTTTTTTTTTTTTTTTTTTTGCTATTGGAGATCAAATTCAGGACCTTGCACTTGTGAGGCAGGCATTGGCTAAATCCCCAGCCTCTACATGACTTCTTATGGAAAACACATTATGATCCTGATGTTGGACATTTTTTCATATGCTTCTTGGTTACTATAAATCTTTAGTGAAGAACCGATTTCAATATATTTAAATTTTGTGTCTCTTTTTCTTGTTTTATCATTTTATTGAATAGAAAGAATATTTATATATTCTGGATGCAAATCTTTCAGTAGATATATGTGTTGCAGAAATTTTCTACCAATCTGTATTTTGCTATTTTTCTTGCTAATTGCTTTGAATTTCAAATTTTAAAAGTTTGACCAGTTTCAACATATCGATTTTTAAAAATCTATATTTCATATGTCATATCTGAACAAATAGGACTTGATTTAATTATTTAGGTATCTTAGAAAACTTGAATTTTGTATAACAAAATAAGTGGCTGAGCAAGTATAGCAGTTGGTACTATTAGTACTATATAACATAAGCAGAATAAGAGGGTTATAGTATGGGTAAGTAGGGTTATGCTTTTAATCCTGTAATCTTTATTTTATTGACATAAATATTACAGCTATTATTTTACTTATATATGGAGAAATTGTTGCTACATATGATTTAATTTAACTTTCAATTTCATCATTAGTGTTTTATATCATTGAAACTATATAAACAAATTATTGTTGCTTTCCAATAGTTATACTTGATTTTAGAACAAAAGTTTAATATTTTGCTATTTTTTCTTATAATTTTATTGCCTTGACTAGCTGGATATCAAGAGTTCAGACAATGCTCTGAAATATTTTGGAAAGTATAATAAGATAATCTTATAAGAGACCATACATGACAGATTTCTGCTACTGACTATATTGCAATGGCACTTCTTTTCTTGCAGATCTGTAGATGCTTGTGAGAGTTTAGTTGGTTTTACTTAATACCATGTATTTGGGCTGTTTCTTTATAGAACTTGACTGAAACTAATCATAGCTTCTCAAAAACTAACATCAACTTGTCCCCTCTCATTGACCCCAAGAGTTCTCAGAACTTGCAGTGCTCTATACCTTTTGTCTGGTTTTCCAGCCATACCCCATTACTGATTTTAATGCTGCAGGGAATGTATTTATTTTCAAACATTAAAAATCAATTAATTCTAATTGTATTTTGAAATATTTTTTAAAAGAATTTCACAATACTCTTTGAAATATTTTGAGATACCCCAGGGTGTTGCAAACAAGAGTATTAGAAACCATTGTCATAGATCCAAGATTCTGTTGTGCCAATATGCAATTTTTTTCCAAACACATCCTAGAGTTCCTTTTCTAAAATGTTTGTATTGTTTTTGTATTTTCTTTCACACTTGTTGACCTATACTTTGCTTCTAATTGAATATGCAAATAAAACATTCTTCTAGTATTCTTATTTCTTTATACTGGACATTTCTGGGTAACATATATGCCACTTTTATGAATTAGTAATATCCTAATTAGGTTTGTCTTACATTGTATTATTTTCTGTTATCTTTACATTATGTTACTCACTACAGCCCTATTACTAACTGTTGAAAGATAATTGTAATGAAATGACTTAGGCCCCAAGCCATTAAGCCAGAATTATTAAAAATGAGAACAAATATATTATTAAAGATTAAAAATTAATGTAGAATCATATAAATATAGGCCCCAAATTTTGAGGACATTGTCCAGTAGTATAAAATGTCATTGAATAATCATGGAAACCTTCATTTGAAATAGTACTTAACATACTGATATGGTCTAAAGGTAAGAAATCTTGCTTAACCTTTTTTTCTGTCCACTAAAAGGCTTATTGCAGTAATAATTAGATGAGTAAAAGGAGGTACAGAAGGCAAACCAAGGGTAGTGGGAATCCGTACTGGGTAAACAATGTGCCAAATGTTCATTACAGAATGTAAGAAGATTATACCAGTCAACTTCAAAGGAGATATGTTGAGAACTATTAATAGATGAAGTAATGTATGATAAGGAAGGGACTTGAGTTCTCAATTCTAAATAACAGGCATGATGATCTTAAGATATTAAGTTTGTCTGCCAAAGATTTCTGAACTTAATTGACAGATTCAGTAGAGTAGATGGATACAAGGCCAACACTCAAAAATCAATAGCCTTCTTCTTCTTTTTTTATTTTTATTTATTATTATTATTATTATTATTATTATTATTATTATTATTATTTTGGTACCAGGGATTGAACTTGGAACCTTCTGCTTGCAAAACAGTCAGCAGAACCACTCAGCTAAATCCCCAGCCCACAATAGCCTTCTTCAGACTCATTGAGAGAGAAATTAGGGAAGCAATCCTTTTCACAATAGCATCCAAAAAACAAAAAAAAAAAGAAATATCTAGGAATCAATCTAACAAAGGAGACAAAACAGTTCTACACTGAAAACTACAGCATTCTAAAAAAAAAGAGATAGAAGAGGATATAAGAAAATGGAAAGATATCCCTTGTTCCTGGGTAGGAAGAACCAATATAGTGAAAAATCTTAAACATTGGATCCAGATATGTTTTGGAATTCAGAAATTTTGGACATTTTAGAAAATATATATCATTTATTATATAAATTTCTCAATGAGGTCTTTACCACTAAGTACACGTTTCCACAATGAAAAATGTAAATAGTCACATGGAGTGGAACTAAATAAAGAAAGAGTCAATGGACTCAGGATGATTCAGAGTTGGTTTTGTTACTAAATAAGTTTGAAGTGAGCACAAAGCTTTCTGGATTTCTGAATGGCTTATATTGGTAAATATTTATTGAGCAGTTGCTATAGGCCAGCTTTAAGGCTGTGCCTTTTTTCAATAATCTTTGTAAATAACCCAGCAAGAAAGGAGCTATTATCCATCATTTTCAAATAGGAAGCTAAGGCTTAAGCATGTTCATATGGCTAAACCAGTAAGAACTTTTAGTGATTATCGTCCTCTGTTGCATTAGTAGTTTAGAAAAAAAATGTCTGGAGAACTGAAATAAGGTCTGTCTCCTCAATTTGTAGTCTCTCTAGCTAGTGACACCCAGATGACATACTGAGCTGAACATCACACTTAGATATTGGACTCACTGTTGAAAATCTCTGTGTAGTTGTCTCGCTGACCCAGGGAGCTCCTAATGGAACAAATCATCTTTCTTCTTAACCATTCTCTTGCTTCTACCCCTAAGTCAAAATCCTCCCTTCTTCTCTCTCTTTCCAGTCCTATCAATGACCCAATGCCTTTGGGAGTGGGGCTAAACATCAGCACATAGGAAGCTGGGGGTTTTGAAGGTGTAGTAATTCAATTTTGCCAATAAAAAATTCAGGTCCTTTCACCACCATAAAGTGAAGGTTCTGACCGACTGTGGATGATCACAAAAACAAAACTGCTACCTACTTGCTCAATAATAAACTATTGGGTTTGAACCATCAAGATTTTGTTTTTATTATAGGTTACTTTATGCGTTTGTAAGTCTATTTTCTTAGCTATATTTTGGGCATTTAGGTGCATGCACTTTGATCCGAGTAGGGAAGTTGACAAGAATCCTTCACAGGACAATGGCTTCAGGCATACAACCCTTGCTGGGAATATTTGGGGATGCAAAAGAAGTAAAGTAACAGCATTTTTTTTTTATTATTAGGTAAAAAGCCGAGCCTGAAAGTCCACATCAATTCCACCAGTGACTCCATCCTCCTGAAGTTCCTGCGTCCAAATCCAAATGTAAAGCTCGAAGGTTTTCTCCTGGGCTATGGCAGCAACACATCTCCCAACCAATACTTCCCTCTTCCCACAGAAGGAAAATACACCGAAGCTGTAGTTGGTAAGGTGACTAGGGATTAGGCTCTGAAGAAGGAGGTAGTAGGGAACGAGAGTAACATGTACAAATCTTGAAGGATACAATCATTTGTCCAATATCCTTGGTTGACAAAATTTTAGAATTACACATTATCTTCATAACTGTTAAAATCTATAGCACAATTTTTAAATTAAAATAATTTATCACATACAGAAATAATTGCCTTCATTGTCATTGTACCAATAATTCCTGCCCACCTAACCTACTGCATAAAAAAACCAATTAGCTGAAATGCCTGGGCTCAAGCCTCTGTGACGTAGTTTTTTTATGTGGATAATATTCTTCCTTGATATCTTTATTTTCTTCTGATAGAAATACCACAGCTTTTTGAGTGTTTCTTTATGAGAAGAAACTTTTAAAATATAAGAAAATATATTCTTAAAATTTTGTAATATTTCAAATAAGAAACGTGTTGATTACATTCTCTTGCTTGGACAAATACTCAACACACAACTTAAGGGAGGAGAGGTGTATCTTGGTTCACAGGATTCTGTCCAGAGCTGACTGTTCCAAGATAGAAAGGGCATGGTGGAAGGATCTGGCAGAGTGAAGCTGTTCATGGCACGCGGTCAGGAAGCAGAGAGTGAAAGAGGAAGCAGAGAGGGAGAATCCACCCTTCCAGCTCATGCCTGCAGTGAACTGGCTCTTCTGACCAGACCCACCTTATAACTGCACATTCAACTATGGATTCATTCCTGGGTCAATCCACTGATGAGTACAGTACTCCCATGATCCTTTAACCTCCAAAAACCTCTGAACCCATAGCATTTGGGAGGACATTCTAGATCTAAATAATAATAAGAAAAGTAAAGCTTGTTACCAAAAACTATGAGATTAGGCATTTTGGAGAAATATAACACTAAATTTGACTCTATGAGACATAAAAATATTGAATGTTCACAAAAATGAATGTAACTGTACTCTATACTTCAAAAGTACCAATAAACTCAATGGAAAAAAAATCCCTACTATATTCACTCTTTACTACAAACAGTGACCAGAAACTGTATGCTTATCCACAAAATAGAAGCATCTTTACATTGAGCCCTAGAAGTGTCTTCACCCTTTAAATCTTTTTAGTATGGAAAATTTCAGATACTTAAGGAGGGAGAATATTGTCCTGAACCCTTATTTCTCATCATGCAGCTTGAATATGTATCACTGTCTTGCTACTCGTATTCAATGTGCCCTTTTATATATGCTTTGTTCATCAATTTTACAGCATAATCAGATACATATTTTTCTCTGAAAATGCTTCAGTATTAATTTCTAACATATAACAATTATTTTAAACAATGCCATGCCTTTATTATAACAACAATTTAATACTATTTTATATCTATATTTAAATTTCTCTGGTGATCTTAAAACTCTATTCAGGGTTGGTTGGTTTGAATTAGAGTTTAAACAAAGTTTATATGTTATGCTTAATTATGCCTCTAATGTTTCTTTCTTCTCTTTTGAATTACCACTGATTTCTAGAGAAATTGGTTGATTTGTAAGACAGCATGTCTATATTCTATATTTAACTGTTTGCTTCCATTCTCTGTGCATGTGTGTGTGTGTGTGTGTGTGTGTTTTAAACCTGGTTCCTCTGTCCCCTATATTTTTCACACAAAGTAGTTAGATTTCAAGGCTGTATTAAATTTGGATTCAGATTGTTTTGGAGGTAAATATTGCTTTATAGATGGTACTACAAGTTTCCTAATGATACAAAGAGAAGTATGCAATGGTTGACTGTCCCATTCATTGATCCTAAGATTATTTGGTATGTGAGTATTTAGATGGTCTTAGCGTGATTTTTAAAATTTACCATGAAATTTTCACCTAGTGCTTTTAGTGTCTTTTGACAATGATTGCTCATATACATTATTTTATATAAGGGCTGTAAGATGATACCTTTCTAATTCTTTTATTTCCTTCTGCTTTTTAAAAAAGCTGATAATAGAGACTTTTCTCTCTTATTTCATAAACTTTAAATTTTCCTTTTATGTTTTCAGGAATGGTAGAATAACTTCCACTGTTATAAGTTGGTGCCTGATAACCTCCAGTTGCATTTGGGGATAAGTACTGCAGCTCTGCTGTCTGATATCAACAGCAGCAGTGACTCCATCAGAGTCCACCAGGATCATAAACTCAGCTGCACTAAAAAATTAGAGGGACAAAGTTTAACAAAAGGAAGACCCCTTATTTGTAAAGAGAAAAAGGAAGGGAGAAAAGGAGAAAATAGCTATGCTGATAAGAAATAATCAGGGTAGGGGGCTCTGAAAAGATGGAAGACTCATGGGCCCTTTGTTTCCAGCTGCGTTTATAAGGAGGTCAGAGACCCCTTTCCCCAACCCAGAACTTTCCATAACTAGATCCAAGCACCTTTGCCTACCGTCTTTTCCTCCAGTGGTCTACGTGCAACTTCTTTATGTTTGTTTACTTGTCCTTTTAAAGCTTTATCTTTGAGGTGAGAGGCTAGTTGGCAAGGGGGTACCTTATTTATGGTTAGTTATTAAGGGGTGTGTGGATATCTATTATATCCTTATATCTATCAGTATATCCCTTATCTATCTCTTGTGACTCTTCTTGTCTAGCCTGACTATAGCTTTTTTATTTACTGTGGTTAAATATTAAACCATGTACATTTTTTCTGATACTGGAGAGTGAACCTATGGTCTTCACACTTGAGTTACATCCCCGGCCCTTTTATTTTTAATTTTTATGTTGAGACAGGGTCTTACTAAATCACAAACCTGGCCAGAGAGGACTCAAATTTGCCCTCCTACCTCCGTGTCTCAGAATACTGTACCACTATGCCTGAATTAAACTGTGAAGTTTTAAAGATTTGTATCTTTTTTTCCTTATTAGTATCACAATGATTTACAATGAATATACAGATCATATTTGTAGTATAGAATGGAATAAACTGAAATATATGAAATATTTATTCTGGGGGAGGCAGATATTCAGGGTAGGTAGCAAAGATGGGTCTTTCTGTAGCTTAAAGAAGTCCAGGAAACAGATTCCAGAACTCCTGGGTGGCTACTCCAAGTAACATTTTAAAAACTCTTAGTGTACTCTCCTTGTATTCTTTTTATTAGTCCCTTTTCTCTTCTGATATTCCAGTTGAAGTAGAAAAACATTATTCTTACATATTTCTATTTTCAGGTAGTTGTGCTAATGAATCTGTGTGTTTCTACTTTTATTACTCGTGTTCTAAGTTAAATGTTGATTTTTTGTTACTTAAATTGATTATTTTCTTCTGTGATTGTTTACATTTGTTTCACTTAGTTCATTAGACAGCTGTATATTAGCTTTCTGTTTCTTCTATAACAAATTACCACAAGCTTGGTAGCTGAGAAAATATTATGATTTTTTTTATCTTACAGTTGCAGGTTAGAAATCCAACATGAGTCTAGTGAACTAAAATCAAGTTATGAGCAGGTTGCACTTCTTTTGGAGGCCCAGAAAGGAAAATTTACTTTGTTGTTGGGTTTTTTTTTTTTTTTTGCCTTTTCTAGCTTCTTCAAGATGCCTTCATTCCTCTTGACAACAGTGAGTCAAGCTTTTCTTAAAGCACAACACATCACCCTAGCCACTTCTTTTCTCCCTCTTCTATTTTTAAAGATCCCTGTGTTTGCATTACTGCCCCATGGTTAATTCCAGGCACTCACTCTATTTAAAAGTCAAATGATTAGCAACTTTAATTCCATGTACAACCTTAATTCTTTTTTGTCATATAACCTCACACCCAAAGCTCACAGGCTTTAGGGATTTTTGGAGAGGGGGCATTACCTAGTCTGCCAAAAGCTGTATGCTTAAAATTAGTGTCTCTATTCTCTTGCCTTTTTGCCACTAGCTTACTCCAAGATCTTTTTCAATTCTTTTTGTCTCTAACAGGTCTGTTTTTCACAGATGTGCTGTGGGCAGGTTAGTAAATTTATTATCTTAAAATGAATTGAAATCCTTTGGGTGAAAAGTGCTGTACCAGAGAAAATTAATTAATTATTTGTTTATTTATTTTGGTACCAAGGATTGAACTCAGGTCCTTGAGGCAGGCGGTGGTACTGCTGAGCTAAATCCCTGGCTCCAGAGAAAATGATTTTTATTTCTTCATGGAAAAAAAGCATCACTTACAGCTTCTATTGTTGCTTGCTTTTGTAATAATATAGTGGCAGTAAACTGAACTGTACCCAAACGTAATAGATTTCATTTTCAAAACAAATGTTGCTTGCCACATTGTAGGGCACGTTTCACTTTTTGAATGCTTTTTTAAAATCATATCTCATTTTACCACTGAAACAAGAAATTGTGATTACTCAGATACATTCAGTATTATTTAGTGATTTATGCCTAATATTCTCACTAATCAGTAATAAACATTACATTTATTTAATACCTATCTATTAAGTACTTATAGACATTTTCAAGTCATTAGTCATATGGAAAAGTAAAAAGAAATAAAATATTTTCTTTTGCTAATTTAGAAATTATTATTCAGAGGGAATTTTTGTAAATATTGATTTAAAAGTTTAGAGGATTATTTGGAGCAGGGGAAAAAATGGTATCATCCCAGCTAGACAGTAATAAATACTGATGGGTACAAGAGTCCTGTAATGATGTGAAAAAACTGATTCACATTTAATATATCCCCTAGGTTTCTGCATCCTGTTTTCTTGAATCACATCCTAAGTTTTCTCCTAGGTTCCAGTGACCCTCCTGCCCCAGCCTCCTGAGCAGCTGGTATTACAGGCATGCACCATGGCCCCTGGCTCTAGCATGACTCTTGATGAATTGATGTTTGGTTTTATTTTTGTGTCCTCTATCTGCCTTCAAACCCCACCCAAACAAAAATCTCCCAGGAGACAAGGATTCTTGGCGATTTAGATTCTTTTCACCTTCAATATTGTCATGAATTGAGAAATTTAAAAAAAAACGTGAAAGAGAAAGTTTGAGACTGAGAAAGTCTGAAATAG